TATGTAGCCGAAAGAATTGTATACGTAGTTAGAAATTGTTTGCAACATCCGGTTGCGGATGAGGGTAATTCCAAAAGTTTAAATGCATTCATGTGTCTCATTATGGACCGATCCTTTCAATTTTGTATGCATTAACCATGAAGATTGTTTTGGTACGGATCCAGACTTCTACAATTTTTTTCGAATTTTAAAATGAATTTCAAAAATTTTAAAATTCATTTTAAAATTTAAAAAAATCCTAGAAGTCTGGTACCGTACCAAAACAATCTTCATGGTTATGTGCATTTACGTCCAAAATTTAAAAGGGATCGGTCCATAATGAGACTTTTGGTACACCTGAATGCATTTAAACTTTTTGGAATTTTGTTACCCTCATAACTCCGCAACCGGATGTTGCGCGCGCAAACGGATTTCACTACTACGTATACAATTCTTTGGCTACAAAATACCATAAAGCAATGCAAAAAAGTATTTGGGAGTGCGCGACAGCGAAGGTTGCCGTGGATGTACACGAATTTGGTGCTATGTACCGGGCCAAATCCCTTAAAACAGGTTTACTGCTTTCATTTAGCCATTTCTACCGTACATCCATTGCAAAATTATTGGTTGTAACTTGTAGAGTAAAGCTATTTATTCAGACAGACGATGCAGGATTCTATGTTTGCAGCTGTGGGCTGACGTCTACTCCACTGGTCGTAAAACCACGCCAAAGGCATCTCAGAAAGGTACGTCAAATAATTAATGAAATTTGACGAATCGCCTGCAATCAAAGTTAGCCATAATATTATTATTGTCTGTCCATGTACGCTTGCCACCTCATTAATCCCGCCTGGGTATTATTTTACGATTGCATAGATTAGTGTCAGCCACTGGTCCATTGTCATCCTGCTCTCATTTTACTGACGTTGTATTAAGGGAAGGAACCCAATAGATAATACCGAAGTCGGGTACATGCACGACAACTTTCACTTTCGCGCTGTCCCAAGCACGTTTTTGCATCGTTTTCTTGCATTCGATAGCCAAATTATTTGCATGTACTCGTATTTAAATATATTTTATTCCAGCGTTTTTGCATAATTAGCGACAAATTATGTCATTGCTTTACCTGAGTGTTAAACTTAACACTTAATCAGATGGTCAGGAAACGGACGCCACAACTTTGTATCAAGGTGGCAGCGACTTCAAATACCACTATTCACAACGGGAAATACTGGGCAGCGGTCGTTTCGGCATCGTTTTCCCAGGCACGGTCACTGCGAAAGGAAATTTGGATGGTAGCGTGATGATTGGTGATTCAGTCGCAGTTAAAGTGGTCCACCTCATAGAACGCGATACTGCATCCTTAACAAGCCTTTTGGAACGCTTCAATAAACTGCTGCAAATGGACCATCCAAACGTTGTCCGATACATGTGTTTCTCAGTGAAACAATTGGGAGAAAAGCTATCCGTCGAGATTGTGATGCCGTTGTACGATGGTAGGTCACGTGTGTAACCGGCAAAATCGTCCGGACGGATGAACCGTCCGCCGGACGCTTTTGCCTGTAAGCCGGCGAAACCGTCCGGCGGTCCGAGAAAACGTCCACCCCCGGAATACAGTCCGGCAAAAGTGTCCGCCCTCAAATGTACAGTCCGGGATTCACAAAATCAAGGAGAGCAGAAAAAACTGGGTGGATAAAATTTATGGCGGACGTTTTTGCCGGCTCACAGGCGAAAGCGTCCGGCGGACGGTTCATCCGTCCGGACGATTTTGCCGGTTACACACGTGTATCTACCACCAGAACAAGAAACGAACTGGAAAAGGGCATTCTGGGATCATGCTCACAGCCGCTAAATGATCATGTTTGTATAATCTGAAGTTTAATAACTATTACCGAGTAGTGAAAAAAAACGTTAAATGGTAGCAGTAAATTAGAGAAGAGATCCTGTACGATTCCGCCTCTAAAGCTAGATCCAGAATGGATCCAGGGACAGAGACCTAAACGGGATAGATCCTGTGGAGTGAGCGAAACGATCTGGTTCGCGAACTATGCGGAAACACAAAACGTCGCACCGTAATCGCTGACTTTTAATATTATTGAAAGTCTGGAGCACAGAAAATCAACAACCGATCGGCGCAGCTCGATCACAAATCGTAGAGCCAATTCAACAGTGTGTAACACTGTGCAGCACGTGCTAAGCCGCGCCCACTAATAAAGCGCAAGCCAATCAGAAGCGAGACACAACACAGACCGTAATCCAAAGGCGTAGCGCCTAGCGCCACTAACGTGAACGCTAGTGAGCCTCGTCTCACATGCCTCTGGGGGGATGCCGAGCTCCGTTGAGGCTGGACACACTCCCGAATCCACGAAAAGACGGTCGCCGGTGTCTGTGCGTGCTCGAAAACATCAAATTCTCTTATTCCATTTATCACATCAATTCCATAAGGCACAATTCCATTTAATACGATGTGAATAAAGAGATCCATTTATAAAAAAAAATACTATTCCATATCAATTCTAATACAAAACAGATCAACAGTTAAAAAGATCAACAAAAGTATTAATCAAATGTAGACTAGGATCCTCCATTTCTGACTCGTAAAGGTCACAGGTCCTGTCCACCGTTTTCTGCACTTTGGCCCATTCCGCTCCGTTGAGCAAGTCCGCGCATCCGCAATGCGACTTGTAATCACAATCCGCTTGAGAATCAGGTGCGTATCAAGTACGACTTAGGAATACTGCTTCATCTTTGGAATACGGTGCGTATCAATTGTACGACTTAAAAATGAGATCCGTTAAAGGTCATGGAGGGACGTCATGTAGACAAGCGTAATTCGCTTCCTCCCTGATAAAGGTCATCCTTTATTGAGATGATCCGTTGAGATGTGCGACTCGTTATGGGTTAATGGTCCCAAAAGGTCATGCGACTTGAATTCCGATACGGTGACTCTCTTGGGCGGTAATGATCCCAAGGGTCATCCAACTTTTCTTCAAACTTCCATTAAAGGTCATGGAGGAACTTAGCCGATTTGTACCGACTTTCAAGCATTTCTTCGCTTGCCCCCCTGGTAAAACTTTTAAGTTGACCTTTCCGTCGCACATCCAACTTCAATATGCCTCGAGCGGCCAGAGTGCCGGCAAAGTTTACCGTAGCATCTCTGATGGGGCCGGCTAACTACCGTATTAAATTAACCCCACGACGCTTCCACATTTAATCTTCCACATTCCACTTCCACATTCCACATTCCACATTAACTCTTGTTCGCCGCTTGTGGCCCAACTTCGGTACAAGAGATCCGGCTTGGTTACCGCTATTTCTCTCGTTAATTTTCAACACTGAATCGCTCGGAGAGATTGCCGGCATAGTTTACCGTAGCAACTCTAATGAGGCCGGCTGGCTGCCGCATCAAATTCACCTCATTAATATTTCCACCTGTTGTCTTTCTCTTTTTCGCCGCTTGTGGCCCACTTTCGTATGCAAGAGATCCGGCTTGATTACCGTAGTTTCTCTTGCCAATTTATAACACTGAATCGCGTAAGGAGGAGAGCCGGCTAACTGCCGTAGCAACTCCTTTGGGGCCGGCTTTATAGACCGAATCAATTTCAACCCCAATCGATGCTCCACATGATTTCTTTATCCTTTCTGATTCTGTGCTATAAATGCTGAAAACAACAAATACACGAATACGGTTTATGTAAACAAGTCATAACGCCCTTATATACAACACCCTGTTCCATTTTTCTGGCGTACCGACATATGCCGTTGACGCCTTTTTAATAGTTTGGTCCTGACGATCAACACTATTCCATTTCATTTGAGTCGCCCTCGCCATCTCTTGGCGGGCGCCTCTTAGCGTTTTCCGGTTGATTACGGTCAGACGTCCGGTCAATTGGTTCCATGGAATCAACTGCCATGACCTTTTCCGGGTCAACTTCTCGCTGACCACGGCCTTTACCTTGGCGACTTCTTTTAACCGCCTCGACTCGATGGCGTGCGTCATTTTCCTCCAACCGGAGTCTCCGGTTGTTAGGGTCATCCGCCAATCTCCGTTGCACGTCGGCGAGGTTATCGCGGAGTTGCTGGTTCCGTAGGCCACGTCGTCCAATCTGGTTAGGAGCGCATTCTGGGCGCCGATCGCTTTTCTTTACAAGGAACTCGTCGATGTACATTTCAACTCCGTCAAAAGGTTCGACGTAGTCGCTTCCCATGGTGTCTTTAATCTTATTAATCCTCTCTTCCACTTGGGAGGCATGGCGTTGTGTAAGATTGCCCTTTTCCATTCGTATCTTGCACTTTTTCAACGCCTTTCTCGCCGTATGGGCTATCCCGACATGTTCCATCGGTTCTCCCAATTTCGCCACGTGAGGTCGGAAGAGCGGTGGGATATCGTCCTTCATAGTATTTGACACCAACTGGTTCTGTGTCTTATAGTGTGCCAATCTCGCAGCGAAGACCTTCTGCCCCATCCTTCTTGCGGCATGGTCTTTAGGATCCAAGTGTAATCCGATCGATGCTCTTGCTGCAAGCAACTTGAAGGCTGGATTCACATGTCGTAAGACAAACTGAGCCACATATTCTTGTCGTTCGGGATAATCTCTATAATAGAATTGTGTCATCCCGATTGGGTCAGTCGTATCCAGTGGCACGTCCAACAAATTCAAATCCAATAGGCTATGTAAATCCGTTTCGTCGGATAGGGAGGTAACAATCCCTTGCTGAGTCGCGGGGAATGTACAATTGACGGAAAATTCCTTGTTCCACTCCCTCTTTAATTTCTTTCGCATAGCCCGAATCGAATAAAAAGTGACGCAGCTGATTGAGAATTGTGTGAATCTTATTTGCATCCGCCGAATCGTCTTCAATCCCCATGTATCGGCAGATTTCCGTCTTTTGTTCATCGGTGTCGCGCATATCATATACCATGTCGACTGTATCGGGGTTCGCGTTCATTCGAAATCACTGTCGGACCATTTCTTCGCCGACCGCGGCTGAACCGATCATCATATCATCTTCGGACTCCACTACATGAACACTGATTCCATCCGCTGATACTTCGGGGGTGAATCTTCCCGTTCTGCGCTCGATGACCTTTTGCTTGCGCCAGATTCAAAACCCGCATAATACCTTGCTCTTTCCTGCCATCGTTTATCCTGTGGGTCTGGCGTTCGATTTCGCGTGTGTTCGCGCCTTTTATCCCATGACCTTTCGGGTGTTGACATTCTAACATTGCGGTTGCGGAATCCAACTTCCAACGGCACCTGATGACCTTTCTTTTCAGGCTCTGTACGGTAAGTCTCCGCACGCCGTTGCTCTTCACGTCCTCTTGTCGCGGCCAAGATCTTTGCCGTATCGATTTTCCGCTGAATGCTTGTCTCAGTTATCTCGTTTCCATGGCGCACCCATCCTCTTCCGCCACGGTAATCGCGATCACGGGAACGTTCGCGTGACCTTTCGCTGCGGTAATCCCGTGTCCTTTCACGAGAATGTTCACGTGACCTTTCGCTCCGCCTTTCAGAGATTCGCTCGTGTTCCCTTGAATGTCCGCGTGACCTTTCTCTATGCGGAGGGGAACGGGGCCGTGTGAACACGTCATCTCGTCTGAATCCTCTGAGCGCCTGTAGAACATTACTCTCATTCTGACGGGATTTGCGTAGCTCCTCCATACGTTCTTCAACTGCCTTCCTTATGTATGGTGCCGGAGCGAAACCCTTCTGCAGTCTCAACTTTTCCCGCAACAGTGCATCAAATAGTTCCTGTTGCATAGCGGCCGGATCACTCGTCAGCGTATCAATCTGAATAATCAGAGACTGACGTGTCAGCTGTGCTTCATCTTCGTTGAGGCTGGCTGTCGGTACATTTGAACTCGACGGGTTTGGCAGCGCCTCTCGTGCAGCCTGTTCGCTCGCCTTTTGGTTAGCCGCATTGATCTTTGCCCGGAGTTCGTCCTCCAACTGTTGCTGCCGCATCTTTTCCTGTTCCTCCTCAAATTTCTTTCGGTATGCGTCCGTTTGTGGGCATTTTAACGGCTCCAAGGTCTCGTCCCATCCACTTTCGTTATTCTGGATCGCTTCCCGGTAACGATCCTCCAGTAGCATTCGTTCTTCAACTGGGATACTGCCGTAATTCCTCGCACTGATGAGGTTTCGAAAGACATCCATGTTCCCGCGTTTGGCTTCCATAAGTCCCACGAGTGAGACGATGTGTGGGTCCCCCAACTTGTGAACACATGTGTAGCACGGGAACTTCTTATCAACTTTTCTGTTATTCCTTAAACAGTCCGGACACTTTGGGTTATAGCCCGTAGATCTGTTTATCTCCGATGCGGATCCTGAGCTTTTAGGAGTGGCCTGACCTTTCTGTGCCATTTTCTCCGTTTTGAATCTGCAATCAGAAAACAATCCATCAAGTAACTTTTCCACGTTAATCTTTTCCATCTTATCCATTATCAAGGCTTCTCTAGCATTTTTACGCCTATTCCGTTACTGAGCTGAGACTTTTCCTAGCTCCTGTATCCCTCTCTATCGCTATAACGTGGTGACCTTTCTCACGTTATCAGCACTTTCTGACTACTGTGACCTTTTCTATTAGTCTTATTGCTGCTACTTCTCGAGTTGACCTTTTCACTCTCAATCTTCCGCAAAACTTTTCTCATTCGTTTTTAACTATTTTATGCTTTTCTGTAATAAGCAGGGTTCATTACTCGCTGCCTATTACACTCGTCCCCTTCATTCGGACTCTTTCGCCGGCGGGTTATACGGTTTGAAGTCCACTCGGCCGTCCTTATTAATATGCAGTGCATTCTCCGCGATCAGAGCTTCAATGGCGTTTTTGATCCACTCTTTATCGTTTTCAATGTTCAATTCTCCCAGTTCATAATGGACGGCCATGAAGTTCGAAAGGTCATTCCAAGACGCTCCGTTGGTACCACCAATGGCGTCCAAAGCCACATCTGTGATGGCTATCTTCCAGGCCTCCAGCTCCATTTTAAGTCTGGGTGTGCGGTCCGTGCCCTGTTTCGGAAGGTAGTAAATAACTTTGTTGTCCTTGTTATATTTGCATCCCAACTTTCCTTCCTTATACGCCCGTTTAAGGACTCGCTCGCTCATGCTGAGTGACGATCTTCCTTTAGAATTTTCGGCGACTTGTCTTTTCAGTTCCGTCCCGAGCATCTCGTGTGCTCTGTTAATCTGAATCGCCGCCTGGACTTCGTTCCATGTCCGGTTATTAACATCCAACGGTGCTCCTAACGTGTAATCTGTCGGCTCTTTCGTTTTTGTACCGCTAGTCTCCGTTTTCTGGGGGGATATTGCCGAGTCCGTTGGGTCAGTTGTCTCCATTTCGTCAATCCTCAATTTCGCCATTGAACCAGATGATGACTGTGCCGATTTCGGTTCATCAGCTTTCTCCTTCTGTGGTAAAGTCTCGTGACCTCCCACTTCATCTGCTGACTTCGGCCGCTCTTTCTCAAAAGCCTCCTTCAATGGTGTGAACAATGATTTCTGGTACACCTGTCGCGCAGATGCAGCTTCTGCTTCTGCCGCTGCCTTGTCCATTGGGAGCATGACCTTTTCTTTCTCCCGTTTTTCTGAAGTCCCATGACCTTTCGGTTGAGTTTCTTCCGTCACAGTTCCAGATGTCTCTTGACCTTTAGGCTTTTCTGTCGCCGGTTCCAAAGGCGTTGGGGCTGATTTGTCATCGTCACTTTCTTCCGATTCAGTATCCATGGGTCCCTTCTTTTTCGACACTTTCGGTGCTTGTGCTTTAACCCGAACTGTTTCTTCCTCCGCTGTTAACTGCGCGATCCGATTCAGTATGGGAGTTGTTGGATCTCCACTCGATGGCACCTTATCCATCTCCTGACTCTCGGACATATGACAGTGGACTTGTTTTTCCGGCGGTATCAGGCCTACTCTCGTATATCGAATCGGGTAACCTTTATGTGCGTTTGTTGTAGAGAGGATGTTCTGTTTTATCATCCTGGGCAACACGCGTTCAGTGGCCGTGTCGATTTCCTTTATCAGTCCCTTTCCGTCATTCCACACGGCGTTAATGTATTGGCTGATCCGGTGACTCGTTGACCCCAACGGGCTTGTCATTCCCGCGACTGCCCTTTCTACTCGCATTGAGGTGTCTTCATTTGGAGTCGTCAGCGACTTGTCCGAGCTTGACGGTCTGAATAGTTTAGCCTTATACGCGAAATTCGGATGTTTCTGGAGAAGTTTTCCCGCATTCCGAGCGTATTCCAATACCACATCGAATTTCTGTTTGGTAAAACTACGGTGTTTATCCTTCCTCAGGTATTTCTTTAAACCCGTTCTGAATTTGGACGTTACTGATGTGGTTCTTACTCGTGTAAAGTGCTTCTCCGCTCCATTGAACGCATCAATAATTTCGTCAATCGTGGTCATATTATCACTGTCTGGATCTTCGAATTCTGCTTCATCTCCCGAGTAATCGAGTTTACTTTCTCCATCCGGTTCGATGTAATTGGCCATTGCCAATGCGTCGATTTTCATGGCCTCTTTTCCTTTCTTTTCCAACTTTGTTGGTTCGCTCTTTGCTTTTTTCCCTCTCTCAAGAGCCTCCGCTAGGCTTCCTGGCTCCGCGGTTCTGGGTCTAATCGTTTTCGGGTCCATGTGTGACCTCGTACTAACCGTCGAAGTACTTGGAAGGCTCACTTCCGATGCTTCCGATTCACGAGACGTCTCTCGTTTTGCCTTTTCTCGCATTCCTTTTTCCCTACGCTCTTTCGGAGTAGATGCCGAGATGACAACTGGAACAATTTGTTTCACAGCTATGACCTTTCCTTTGGATGTTGACGGCTCAGGCTCGGTGACCTTTGACTTTGATGTCGCCGATTCGATAACGAATTTCTTTGGGATAATAGGTACGGATGACCTTTCTTCCGCTTCACCGACTGATTCATCCAATATCTCGACATCATGGGACGACGGTTCGTCTTTCTTCTTTCTTTCTCCCTTTTTCTTCCGGGCGCTCGTACTCTCGCTTTCATCACCACTCTTTTTCTTCTTATCTTCTTCTTCCTTCCGTTTCTTTAGGAATTCACCTTTCTTGACCTTCTCACGGTTCATGGCCTCTTCTAGTTTAGCCGCTTTCCTCGGTTTGACGACCACTTTTGGGGGCTGTTTATCTTCCTCGGGCTCCTCGGCCCTGTCGTCGTCTTCGTCGGCCTGTTCCTCTGCCGAATCATCGTTAGCTTCCTCCTCTTCTGATTCTTCCAGTTCCGATGGTCTCCGGGTACTCTCCGTTCCTGCCTTTTCGGCTACAGAGGCCTCTGCCATCTCTCCGGCTCCACCTTCTTGTGCCGGGTCTAGGGCCTGACCTTCCAAGTGTGGTGTTTCTTTCGTCTGTCCCTGTGTGACGATCTCCCATAAGGGGTTTTTCTTTGCGTCATAAAACACCGTCTTGTACGCTCCGTTTTCCATTTTTCTTGTGAGTCGGAAATGAGCTTCGTCTATCTCCGCTCGATGTCGCATCATGCTGATCAGCGTATTCGCTTGAACTAGAGGATCCTGACGTTGACTTACTGGTATTAAGTTCCACAACTGTTCAAGTGCTTCCCGATTGGCGTGCTCGGCGCTTTCTTCTGACACGTCCCATGGAGCGTATGGAATCGGATCTCCTGTGATCGGGTCAACAATTACCGCGGTTATACACTCCGTTGTCCCATCGCCGTAGTGGATTGTCAGCGTCACTTTTCTGCACGTTCCATCGGTATATTTCAGGATCGACTCGTAATCGTCTAATGTTCGCTTGCTCGGGTCTGGGTCTGCTGTCGGTTTCGGCCGAATTCTCTCTTTCGTCAGCAGTTTCCCGTCCACTGTGTATGTATATGCTAAGTGGTCGTCATTTGTGCCCACCTTAATACGGATCCATGCGTTTTCTTCGACCGCAACTTTGGACACCACGTGCTTCATCATCTGAATGAGGACTCTCGGGTTATGACGTTCCTCCGGGGGAATGAACTGTAATGCCTTATTAACTTCTGTCTTCGCTCTTTCTCCAATTTCAGTTTTGACTGACTTGTCCGCGAGGGGATTGTATGACTCGATCTCCTTATTCGTTCTTTTATCAACGATCCGAGCGGTGACCTTTCGTTCGTTATGGTCAGTTCCAGTGTATTTGACTGTAAAAGTCCGGCACTTTGGAAGTCGAACTGAAGCAGCTTCAGGGTCCGGCGGCGTGGGTGGTGCACTCTTTCTACCCACTGGGATCGGTGGTTTACTCGTCGTGACCTTTTTCGTTCGCCGCTCCTTCTTGTCACTTTCCTTTGGACTTGTCGTCGGTGACCTTACTCTTTTTCCACTCTTTACAGTCCCGCTAGACGGCTCTGTAACCGAACTAGTACGTCCGCGTACTGATCCTGCAGTTGAACTAGCCCGTGACCTTTCTGCTCGTTCGGTTAATTCTGTCTCAATTTTTCTCTTTGTTTCCAGGAGAGCACTGTCCGACATCTCCTCTACTGGTGCTTCGACTGATGCCCGTGATGGCCCCGCCGCGCTGCTTGCTGGGGGTTCCCTTTCCTTGGGAATTGTCTTAAGAAATATCTGTATCTTCTCGATCATCGGCGGCCATTTTCTGTTGGTTAGAGCCGGATGATATTGTTTCATCGAGGCGATTCTGATCGCTAACTCTTTACGTTTCACTTCGATGCTTTTAGTCTTTTCCTTCATCGCGATATGGACCGCTTTAATGATCGCATCCAGACTCATCAACCTTCCGTAGAATGCATGTTCGTCCTCGACTCGCATGTGAATTCTATAGAGATCCCGGCACATTCGGTTAAAGTCCCCAATGGCCGTTGTATCAGCGGCTGTCAGTCCTTCTTCGTTGCCGACTATCACGTTCAGTCGCGCATCATCTTCTTTCATGTCCAACGGAAGTTTTGGTGAGTAATCGTGCACCGTTGGTTCACCCGGGGGCGTTGCCCGTAGACCATCTGGTCCGACCTGCTCCAAATTTGGCCCCAGCGACGGTAGTACGCCTCGCGGTCGTGGTGAATCAAATCGATTTCCTCCTCGCCTCCCTCCTTTTTGTGGCGAGTTTCTAAGAAATCTTTGCGCTCCCAGTTGCTGCGGTGTTCTCATTCGAGGCGTTCCGATGTCTAACAGTGATAGGCCTCCCGATTCTGGGAAGGGCGGCAATATCGGAGATGACCTTTGCGACTGGGTCGTTAACATTCCGCCAAATCCTCCATGTCCCATAAATCTACTTGGTGTAGTCTGTTGCGGTGGTGGCATCAACATTCTTGTCGGTCCCATCACTTGCGGCGGTCCCATCGGTGGGGTATACGCTCCTGGATGCGGTTGATAAGGGGCGCTCGTTATTTGTCCCGAATACTGGGTTCCGGCAGGTAAGCC